GAGCATACCTGTGGCAACCACGTCAGATCCGCGCTGCGACGTGAGAGTGGTGCGGGGTAGGAGAAAAGAAGGGGGGGCCGGGGTGTGGGTGATGCGTGCAGGGGCCTCGAACCGCAGCGGCACATGAGCCGGGCAAAAACCTATACAGGTTTTCGCCCCCAGAAAAACCCACCGACAAATGAGCGAACAAATTAACAAATTGATGGCAATCCCCGAGCTTCGAGACAATGGGAAAAAAACATTGTTCGAGCATTCTAATTCCAGCGATATTGGGCCATGCTCCCGCCTCCCCAAGCAAAGAGAAGCAAGTAATAGTGGCAGAATTACATCAGTTTGCGATACTTGATTGTTCTGCGCCAGCAAATCTCTTCAAAAATTGCAAATTAAAACATCTCAGATTTGATAAAACGTTTGGTTCAAACGCTGAGGTGGTGCAAAATCGCAACTCTTCACTTCATGGACTCGTTCCTCAACAACTCCGCCGTCAAAGCTCTTCTGCCTGTGCCCAAGGATGGTATGTATTGGTTCCGACTTGGGTCCCATTGGCAGTGCGTGTTCTGCTTGCTCAGCTTGATTTCCATATCTTTCAATCTAGTCGGCGGCGAGGCAAAACGGGCGGCCAAATATCTCGCAAAAGGTCAGCTTAGCGCAAATGGTGGACTGGATCAAAGCCTGGTGGCCAGGTTGTAGTGTCTGCATGGAGCGCTGAACAAATCTTGCTTAATTTGCAGTCGCTCAAGTCGGCGAATGGTCAGGCGTCGCTAATAAAGTCTCGGACAAGATTGCCATCCCACCGTCCATCATCAACAATGCTAAAGGCTTGGCTATATTTAAAGTCTTAAAGGTGAGCCGATTTGGTTGCTGGACTAAAGCGTCGTAGATGGTTCCTCATCGGTGGGAACATCAAATGTGTCTGAATCTCAGCATAAGAGCGCTTTTGTTCTGAGATTGTGTTCGTGCTCGTTGGGACCTTGATTGGTACCGATTCGGCGGAGAATGGAGCACATGGAGCCCAACCAGACACAAAATCGATGCTTTAGGGCCTAACGAAAACTTATGTGAAAGGGAAAAATGAAATCTTGAAGGCTTTAGTGCCCAGGTCGTGGAGTTCGTGCCGGGAGCTTTTATTTACACAGATGAGAGATGTAGTTTCTTCGGCTGTAAAGCTCACACAATTAACTAATCCCCTCAGGGTGGCTTCATTTGGTCTGGACGCATAGGATCGGGACTGGCTGTAGCTCGGCTGCCCGACGGGAGCTGGTCGGTGAGTTCGTGTCTTCCCACAGTTTAGCTCACTGTGTTTAACTCATACTTGAATTGCCATCAATCACCGCGGCTCGTGGTGACTTTCGTATGTACCGGACAACAAGGCCCCGGCGGTATTCGGGATGTTTGGTGTGGGCGTTGGAGGTCAAATTGGTGCACAGCAAACTTACCTCGTACTAGTGCTGAATACTGACGCGGGTATCGCCGCTTTCTCGAGTCCTGGGAACGTTACACTGGGAGCGGATATTGGAGGCGAGTACAAGGAAGTTTATTTTGGACTTTGAAGCAATGCTTGACCCTATGATTTCCTGCCTGTTCGGTTCCAATAGTCTCCGCAGGTCCAATCGGTCGAGAAGGCTCGGTCTCTGGCGCCGTCGTGGGACTTGCTCCCATCTATTCGTACTCTAAAACGCAGGGCCTCTACGCCGGTGTGTCCCTGGAAGGCACCGTAATTTTCGAGCGAAAGGAAGCCAATTCCAAATTCTACGGACACAAGGTCACCGGTGGAGATATTCTTCGCGGAAAAGTACAGCAGCCCCTCGAAGCAAAGCCTCTCTACAATGCTATTGCTGCCATCACCCGAGGAGATTTGTCGGATATCATGGGGCTTGAGGGCCGCCAACCTGGCTCTCGGAGGGACGACGATTCAGACGATGAGCCCAGTTCCCCTGTCAGACCCCCGGGTGGATACCTCGACGGAGGTAGCACTTCTTCTTCTACCACTAACTCCTCCGCACCCACGGTTGGTCGCTCCCCTGTCAGTCTCAACCGCTCCGCATCCACCTCGGCGGCACCCCGCGTGGCACCACCTTCGTATAGTACAGTGAACACTAGTGGTGCTTATGCTGCCGAAGATCGGGACAAGAAGACGCCAGCGTACTCCTCTATTGCAGCGGCTGCAGCGGCCCGAGGTGGGGGGTCCAGTTTGAGCGCTGGCGGGTCGAACATTCAAAGAAGTCAAAGTGACCGGAAACCTGGACCACCGCCACCCCCCCGAAAACCTGAAAATCTGCGCTCAAAGGATACTGTCACGGCGGTTTGTGAGTAGAGGAAAATATTGTCTGCTGGATGTAGTGTGTCCCGATATATCAATCGGGTGTCTTGTATTATCACCAGATCCGTTCGAGGCACTTCAACCGGGTGATTTGGATCTTGTTCCCGGTCAGATATATGAGGTGATAGAGAGGACGCCGTCAGCTGACGGATGGTGGAAGGGGAAAGATCCCAAGACTGGCAAGGAAGGAATTTTCCCCGGTAAGTTTGTGCCAGTGATAGAGACCTCAAAGTCTTAGTCCCCAAGATATGCGTTATCCTCCTTCATGCAGGCAATTATGTGAAAGACAACAAATGAAGGTTGAGGTCTTGGACGGGAAGTTGCTGTGAACTCGCTTGAATATGAAATTTGTTTAGAAGTCTCGCATAAAATGCGTCAATGTGTTTCTGTGTTTTGCATGAGCTACCCAAACATAATAACTGTGGTGGAAGTGTTGTGGTGGACTCAGCATTGGGATTCTGCCGGTGTTCTCCCAACCAAACCTAAATCTGGAAAGTCGCGATACTTCTTCGCGCCTAACGTAACGCCACAATCATCTCCGGTACTCGAAGCGCGTTCCAAAAGGAGCCATACGCCGTGAGTTGCTCGTACTTCTACTTCTCTATGTGTCCGGGAAAGGTTCTGACATCCTGGTGGCTCGGACTTATTGGGGAATCTCTGACGCAATTTGGGGCATCCCTTTGTCGTGTTCCACCCAATTCTCAATCGTGACATTGTTCTTGGCGGGTTATAACGGGGATGTGGATATTGGTACCATTTTGCGCGGCATTTGGCGACAGTTGAATAGACCCACGCCCGATTGGACTCTGAAGGTATCCATCTCTGCCCACTCAACGTCAAGACACTCTACATATACAGCACATTAGTGTTGCAATTCTCTCCTGCTCCCTCGTTTCTCTCGCTCCAACTCTTCGTTTCCTCTGATATCATCACTATGCCCAAGAAGTCGAAACACCCATCTGATCTTCCTTTGCACAAAATCATTATGGTTGGCTCCGGTGGAGTAGGGAAGTCGGCTCTAACTCTGCAGTTCATGTACGGGGATTTCATCGAGGAGTACGACCCCACGAAAGCCGACTCCTACCGCAAAAAGGTTGTTCTGGACACACAGGAGTGTTTCATCGACATATTGGATACAGCGGGTCAAGAGGAGTACGCAGCTATTCGGGACAATTACTACCGCTCGGGCGAGGGCTTCTTTGTGGTGTTCTCCATTACTGAGGCTGAATCCTTCAGCCACGCCCAAGAATTTCGGGACCAGATTTGCCGCGTCGTAAATGATGAGACTGTTCCCTTTGTGCTTGTTGGGAACAAGTCGGATCTAGCGCATTTACGCAAGGTCACACCTCGAGATGGCGAGGCAAAGGCCAAGGAGTGGCAATGCCCTTATATTGAGACGTCAGCCAAGACCAAAGAAAATGTGGACTTGGCCTATCAAACTCTGATGCGAAGTATCAGAGACAGAAAGGAGAAGGTTCACGGGAAGAGCCATGGTGGGAAGAAGGAGAAGAAGAGCGGTTGCGAAATTATATGAGCGCTAAGCAGTAGAGAGAGTTGGTGGAAGTTGAGATTGGAGCGGCATGGCTGTGGAACGTGGAATTGGGCTGTGAATGTGAGAATTTGGACACTTCACGGTAGCATACGCTGATAATACAGTTGTTTAGTGCAATCACTTTTTGTCTTGCTGGTTTACGAATGGTGTTCCATGCATCACAGTTATGACTTTGTACACGAACGTGCTTTCACTTGTGAATGGTTCAGGTTTGGTGACAGAATCTGAATGTCAAAAGTGAGGAGGCCTGAATGAGTTTGAGTTCTTGCAGTTGCAAACATCCGCTGTGACATTCAGAATATAACCACACAAATGCAAATGAGCATAGTGGCCCCTTGTGTTATTGAACTGCATGGATACATGACGGAGTTTGTGTACTTATTGGAGCGGCTGCAAATTCACAGGCAACCGCCAAATATGTAACTGTCCATCACCTTTGCACGCGCCTTTGCACACCTTTGCACGTGCAATCGCACAGGTGACCGCGACGCGACCGGTGTGATAAGAGAGGCAAAGGGCACAAAAAGTTCCGGGTTGCCGGGATCGAACCAGCGACGTCCGCATGACAATTCACATTTACAGTGCGACGCTCTTCCAACTGAGCTAAACCCGCCACGATGAAGTGTAAGTTCCAAGGAAAAAGCTAATATAAACATACAACATAGCATTTTGCAAACCTCTTCACCTGCCTCTCTTAAGTGATGGGTTTAGAACATATTTAACTACACAAAATACCCGCGGGGTCTTCAAGTGCGCAAAAGCGCAGGGATGACTGTTGATTTGAATGAAATCAGTCCACCAATCACCCAATAGGCATTATTTAGGTTACAGTTTAGAAGCTCCAGTGGGATTATTGGAGGAGTTTGACCTGTAGAGAGGAGTGAATTTTGCATGTAGCACTACAACAGCGTTCATCAAGAGAGCAGGATGTTCCACCATTCATTGTGGTGTGTGTCAGCTTGTGTGTCAATAGATGGACCGCAGCTGTGCCAGCTGCAGCAACACGCATAAACAGAGAGTGTGCACACATTTGCAGGCAGTTTTAACCGTCTACCTTATAGTCTAGCTCACAAATTCTATGCGTATCTTACAGTTTAGGGAGGTGAAGACTGCAAACCACACACTGTGACATTGAAAACCACCAACTCCCAAGGTGTGACAGCTTGTGCCACACCTCTCATAATTGGTGGTACTTGGGAGTGGGTAGGTTTGTACAGAGAAGGTTCCACAACAGAAGGCTCCTGTCAGAGGTTCCACCACCTCATTCACTCATCTTCACTGAGGCCTGAACATGGAAAGCAGCCTGGTTCCAATTGCTAAACAAGCTGCCACATTCCTCCAGAATCTCTCTTTGAGTGTCCATAATATCCTTTGCTGCTTCTTTATTTGGCTTCCATACATTGCTGTAGTCTGATGCAACATGGGAATCGTCAATCGACAGATGTAACAAGCGATTTTCAGCATCTCTCACAAGAACAGACTTGCAAACAGACATCATACCTGCTCCCACAATGCCTATTTGATTTTCCACAATTTCCATTTTGACTTCATTTGACTGCAATCCGTTGAGCATGTCTGAAACCACTTGTGATTTGGCAGGTTGCTGATGATTCCCACCAGGCCTTGCTTGGAACCTCCTAGCAAGCACCAGCTGACCATCCAAGTGAAATTTTGGAAATTGTGTTCGCTCTTTGACAAAAAATTGTCAGCATCCCCACAGACTATTGATCAGCCTTCACCTGGACATCTTACCAAGATCTTTCTCACACACATTACATCTGTAGAATTTCAAAGGTTCTACTGTGAAATAATATTTCAATCGTCTGAGCAACACCGGCCCCTTACCCCAAAAAATTGTTGCAGTGTCAGTTTGGATGTAGTTGTTCCATGCAACAATTCTTCAGCTTGTCCAACAATACTGATAACAAAAATCTGCTCTGTGAAGTTGTTCAAAATATTCTTAACTTTGTTTAATGTACTTCTTGTCACACTGTGCCATGTGAATGGGGCTAAACATTCCTTTGTATTATCTGAATAGGGGATTGCAGTCTTTCAAAAGCATAGTGTGTGCATCTTACTACCCTCAGTGTGTGGCTCTTATATTGTTTACAGTTTGATTTCACAAGTACAACTCTGTTGTTGTTCTCCATCACTTGGAATTAAGGCTGAGATGTGTCCAAAAATTGATCTGAGTGCTGTGCCACTAAATGAAACCACCCAATGTGGCCATTCAAATGTGTGCAGGAGCAACAATTTGAATTACCATTGACATATAACATTACAGACTTGCCACAGCATTGGGGACTTAGGACAAGGTCCCAGGCACTGGATGAAGAACCCTCACTTTACTTGTTTCCCTCCTGGCAGCAACACTCAAGTTCAAACAGGCACCTAAATCAGGCAAGTAGGACCTCTCATATGCCTATTTTTTGAAGATATTTGGGGGGTAGGTGAGTGGATGGGAAAGGGTTGAACTTAGCCTCAAACAGCAACATTTTCTTGATCGTTCAATAGTTGTTCTCACTCAAAATCAATATGATTCTGCAGCAAGGCCCAGTTTTCACTGATACAATTTTGCGTGATGTGGGGATTTTTGACGCTCTGTCCTCACGTCATGTTGAATCAGCTCTATCTTTGTGTGATTCTGTCGCAAGGTGCCTGCTTTCTCCTAAAGGGTCCTTCCCGAAGATTATGCAAGGATGGGAATGCAGTTTTCTGAAACTAGGCTTGGGGGCCATCAATTGTGTACTCGGACAGACAAAATTCCTGTGGGTGACTTACTCCTGATTCCCCCCCATCATTAGATCTGCCAGGCACCACTGAATATTTCCTTGCCAAAGACAAGATGGAGTCAGTACAAATTTAGGAACTGCATTTTATATATGCAAAACTGGGCAAATAAATAGTCTTCAAGTGTCCTGCTGTTGCCTATTCTTGTGCTTGGCTTCTGTGCTAGCAATGGATCCACCTCCATCCAGCACCTTAAGGGCCACATCAACTAAGCACTCACTTTTTGGAGGTAGGTTTACAGGTTACAGTTCCAAAGTAAAAATTCAGGTTAGCAGTGGAAAAACTAAGAACACCAATGACCTGACAATGATAATTCTCACAGTAACGCCCACATTTTATAATAGCTTGCAAAAGGGAAACCCATCATTGGTGGACTTTGAAAGAATTGAACAAAAGAACAGTTGCCATTGTGCACTTTGAGAGCAAACTGTCACCAGGGCGACATAGAGCTTACCGCTAAGTCGGAAGTTAGATGGATGAGGTTTCAGGGTTTAGGGGTTGTGGCGTAGCAGCCACCAGATGATAGAGTAGGCACGGCGTAGATTCTTTTCTTAGGTTTGACAGATAGCATTGCGTCTCTAGGTAAGACAGCAGTGGGTTGTATTGGGTTCTTTATATTCACATGCGTCTCTAGCTACCCTAGTGCAAGTGGTGACCTCAAGGCAGGTCACGCAAACAGAAACAAAACTGAATTTACATCTGAAAAATGTGCATTCATGCAGACAAGATTTATTCTAAATACCGAACCAAGCTCTTTGGGTAGAAAACCTTGGAACTGCCACCGCTGTCACCTTTAGTGACATTTGAGTAGTTACTGCTAGGATGGTAGTTGGGTAGGGAGATTAGTCACGTGATCAGGGTTGTGTGGCACAGTGCACACAGGGGCATTCAGACACTGACGGTTTAGTTTCTCTTAGGTTTGATAGAGTCCACTCTGTCACAGGTGGGACGGAGGCTTGTCTGTATTTGCTTTGCTCGTATTCATTACATTTCCGTCACAGTCTTCTGTTCTATGCTCCGACTCTGGTAGTGACTCTTAGACAGGTCACAACGGCAATTGATAAATTTGAGAGCTTTCCTGCTCAATACTGTTGTGGTATGCTGCAGACCCAACGGTTTCGTCCTGAAACTCAATGTGTTGACTAAGCGGTTGCAGCTGAGCCGGCGGCACAACTAGGATCACTAGAAAAATCTAAAAACTACACTACATACATCTATCCAAGGAACGGGTGCTGCGACCAGGGGTGACACGTGGGGGTGAACGGGGACAACTACTGTCATGCTCGTGGGGTCACATGACTCTGGCTAAACTCCCGCTTTTAGTCGTCGTCTCACAACAATACTCTAAACTGGATTGGGGTTCAATTGGTCCTTATTGGTCTGAAGAGACTAGTGTCAGTGTTTGTACCAGAATCACAGCAGTTCTTCCGTAAGTGATCAACATCTGTGGTGTTCCCACTCCTGTTTTCATACTCCACCTCAACAGTTTCATCCTCTGGCTCTTTAAAGCAGGGTGTCTGTGAGGTTTTGGAGCTGTTATCATATCAGGGGTTCTATAAGATAACAAAGTTACATGGTGTCCAATTGTGGCAGATTATTTGGCTTTTAAAAGAAAGAAGAAGTTGGGACAGTGACAAGAAGAAAGGCAGCGTGGTAGCATTATTGGTCAAGATTAAAGGGAAGGAATCAATCCACAAAGGAACTCACCTGTCTTGTTGACTGGTTTTGTTCCATGTGATGATGTGGTGGACTGGACAAAATCCCTGTGCAGTACACTCAATGGTCAAATGAACTTTAAAAAAGCAGGTTTAGAGGCAATTAATGGTTGCACTCTGGAGATGGAGTCCATTTTCTCAATTTCTCCTCCCCTGTCTTCCTTGCACCTCTTTTTGTTGATGACCAATCTTTAACCACTGCAAGCCTTGTGTGTCTGCTGCACTTAGCCTGTAGTAGGGGATGGCAAGGGCAAGGACATCGAGATTCAGATCAATTGGGCAAACAAGCGGAACATGTATCGCACATGTCACCAAAGACATTGCTTTTCTACAATGGGTTCATTTACCTGCTGATTGCTATGTTCTTGCCCCGACTCCTAAAGTACAGGTGCCTCTTGATCCAGGGACAATTGAGCAAGGCAGTCACCATGAGGAACATGAACTGTAGGGCAGAGAGGGATGATTGCACCATGGCTTTGGAGGAGTGTGTAAATGGAACTGGAAAGTGGATGAGGAAAAGGAGAACAAGTGGAAGCTGGCTGGTGGTGAAGTGAAGATCAGTGAGACATCAAGTCCAAGTGTAAAGAGGGAGTTTGATTGGGACAAGGACTTTCATGGGGGCCAACAATTGACTAAGAGGAGGAAAACTAGGAAGTAGAGTTTCAGGATATCTATTTGTCTGCCTGATGTGTACATATTGGCTTTGCCACCATTGAGACAAAAAAAATATGCATTTGGCTCCTCTGGTGTAGGGCAAAGAGGGTTGACTGTGATGCAGGGTCGGACCCTTTTGGATTTGCAGAACGGCATGGTGCTCTTAGGAGTACAAAGCAGTGTCAAATTTTGGCTGTGCATGTTATAGGGCTTAGCTACTAGATGTGTATGGCCAAACAAAGTGCTGAGCCTGGGATCTTGTAACTCTTAATTGACACCCACCAAAATGACAGACGTGGGCAAATCCAGTAATAAAAAGCTAGCAATATATTGCATTTGAGCACCTGTTGTTCCATGTGGCGGTCGGGTTTAGCTCAGTTGGAAGAGCGTCGCACTGTAAACGTGATTGTCATGCGGACGTCGCTGGTTCGATCCCGGCAACCCGGAACTTGTT